TCTGGGACGAGGATTGTGAGCAAGCCTTTCGAGAACTAAAAGAACGGCTTTGTAACACACCAATTCTCGGATACCCCAGCGCGAAAGGAATATTCGTAGTTGATACGGATGCCAGCAATATTGGAATAGGAGGTGTCCTTTCACAACGCGATGGTGAGCAGGAGAAGGTTATTGCTTACTTCAGCAAGTCACTATCCAAGCCGGAGAAGAATTATTGCGTGACCAGGAGGGAATTGCTGGCCGTAGTCAAAACTCTGCACCATTTCAAGAAGTATTTACTGGGACGGAAATTTTTGATCAGAACTGATCACGCTGCTTTGAAATGGCTACTTCAGTTTAAGGATCCCGAAGGCCAAGTAGCCAGATGGTTGGAACAACTTCAGGAATTTGACTTTGAAATCGAACATCGCGGCGGAAGAATTCATGGCAACGCAGATGCATTATCGAGACGCCCATGCGTGGAAGATTGCAAGCATTGTGCCAAGAAGGAAACTGCTTTTCTTAAGGTGATAAGGACTGATACTGTTGACGAGGCATGGGGAGACGATGCGATGAAATTAGAACAGGAAAGAGATGCAGATATCAAACCAATACTGGAGTGGCTACGAAGTGGTAACAAGCCAAGTTGGAGTGACGTCGCCCAATATAGCGCGGTAACGAAAGGTTTATGGGCACAGTGGAAAAGCCTTACGCTGCATAACGGACTTCTGTGCAGGAAATGGGAATCAACAAACGGCAAGGACGAGCATTTGCAATTGGTGGTGCCTCGTTCAAAAATAAGGGATGTATTAAAAGCGTTCCATGATGGATCTTCTGGAGGACATTTGGGAATTAGGAGGACTTTGGTGAAGATCAAGGAGAGGTTTTATTGGTTGCATTGCAAATATGACGTCGAAGATTGGTGCCGGAAATGCACTAGTTGTGCAGCTGTCAAGGGTCCACAAACAAGAAGCAGAGGGGCGATGAAAATCTACAATGTTGGTATGCCTTGGGAGAGAATAGCCTTAGACATCGCTGGACCATTTCCAATCACTGATTCGGGCAATCGCTACGTTTTAGTGGTTATGGATTATTTTACAAAATGGCCGGAGGTCTTTGCCATACCGAATCAAGAGGCAGTAACTGTAGCCACGAAGTTGGTAAACGAGGTATTCACCCGATTCGGAGTGCCCTTGGAGATGCACAGTGATCAAGGACGGAACTTTGAATCCCAAGTTTTCCAGGAAACTTGTAAACTTTTGGGAATCCATAAGACTCGAACGACCCCTTATCATCCACAGTCAGATGGAATGGTCGAACGCTTCAACCAAACATTGGAGCGACACTTAGCAAAGGTGGTTGACAGCCATCAGAGAGATTGGGACACTTACATACCTCTCTTCTTGCTTGCCTATCGGACTGCTGTACATGAAAGTACCGCAAAGACGCCTGCATTTGCAAATTTTGGAAGGGAATTGAGATTACCGGCAGATCTTGTATCGGGCTGTCCACCTGGTGACTCTCGCACCGAGTTTAGCGATTACATAAGCGAGTTAAGGGCAAAAATGTTGGACATTTATGAGCAGATCAGGGAGGCCGGTCTTCAAGCTAGTGATCGCGCAAAGACGCGCTATGATCGACGAGCCAATTCTGTTGGGTTTGAAGAGGGGTCATTGGTCTGGCTTCATAATCCAGTCAGAAGGAAGGGAAAATCTCCAAAGCTGCAACCGAGTTGGGAAGGTCCTTACGAGATAGTCACGAAGATCAATGACATTACTTACAGAATTCGGAAGTCTTCAAGGAGCCCTTTGAAAGTTGTCCATATAGACAGGTTGGCGAGGTATTACGGCAGCAACGATGCTCGGGACGAGCGAATCTAAGAGGGGGGCAGTGTGACAGAAAACTCTTTGACATCATGACGTCAATGGATGGTTGTCAAACGTTGCCTAGAGATTGTAAATTTCGTCGTGAATTGTCAACACGAGTTGGTGTAATCGGTAAGGCGTGTGGATTACACCACAGAGACCCCGAGTTCGAGACCCGCCGTAAACATGAAGTTTTTTAGTTGATGGAAGTTTTGTCGAACTTTCTGGAATATTTGAGTGAAAGTAATGAAAAATAAAGGAGCGAGAAGGAGAATAAATAAAAATGAATAACGAAATTATTGGAAGGTTCTGGAGGCATGACGATCAAAAAGAATAACGAAATTGAATGTTCTAGAACCTGACCAGGGGTATATAAGCGGAACTGCGGCTCACCGCTGGCAGTTGAGTTCTAAGTCCAAAGCGATTCGGAAGAAAAGGAAGAAGTGAAAAGAAGAAAAGTGAGTGAAATAGTGAAGTACAGTGAAATAGTGAAGTGCAGTCAGTTAAGTGAGTTAAGTCAGCGTGAACAGTGAACGGCAAAGTTGTGTCAGTCGGCCGGACTCTGCTGGAGAGGAACGCCGATAACTTATCCGTATCCGTGGACGCTGTCACTTAAGTGCAATAGAAAGTCTGAAAACCGGTATTAGTGTTTAATTTCATCCAATCCCGTAACCCAAGCCCGCATAGTTAGGAACGTGACGTCAGGCACGTAACACAATAGCTTTAAAATTAAGCGTGTCAGTCTGTCCTATAGTGAAGCTATTTGCTCGTTCCAAAGTGTAGATTCCTATGGAGAAGAACGAGCAAGAAACTCCATGGTTACTCTTTTTCAATCAATTTTACAATACATTTCTTTATTACATCAACTTACATCATATATGCCCGGTTCCTATATTTAACGAATCGTCGTTGTATACGCATTACGACCAAATGACATTACGAATAGTTATCTTGACCGTCTACTGACGGTTAAAATATTTATAGGAACACCACAGACACCATAGATCTCCATACAATTCGCTTACCGATATCCGTTAGTTGCAAACCGTCAGTAAGTTGCACGACGAGACGTTTGTTATAGGAACGGTTTTAGCTTACGAGTCGTATATAAAACTACTATTCGTAACTAAAACGGATCGTTTCTCAATTATAGGAACCGGGCATTATGCCCGGTTCCTATATATAACGAATCGTCGTTGTATACACATTACGACCAAATGACATTACGAATAGTTATCCTGACCGTCTACTGACGGTTAAAATATTTATAGGAACACCACAGACACCATAGATCTCCATACAATTCGCTTACCGACATCCGTTAGTTGCAAACCGTCAGTAAGTTGCACGACGAGACGTTTGTTATAGGAACGGTTTTAGCTTACGAGTCGTATATAAAACTACTATTCGTAACTAAAACGGATCGTTTCTCAATTATAGGAACCGGGCATTAGTCGGTTCTGACAACCGACAAAAAGTATATCAATACCGACCGAGGCTGTTAAGGAGGTACTTTACCATTGACATGAACTGCAATATGACACCAGTGTGCACTGACAAGGAGAAAGAGCATTCACCGTCGACCACGACCTATATGCTTCTTTCTGCAAGAGAGCAGGAAACCCAATTGCACAGTTTCTAAGCGTCAAAGGTGTTCTATGCCAAACTCGATCACCACCAATTTTTCATTAATTGCATCACCAATTACATTTTTTTTCACGTTTCATCACCATTTTTTCCTTTGCCAGAGGAAAGTCAGTGGTGTCTAAATAATAATAGAAAGTACATATTATAGCTCGGTACTTGACAAGTTTCGTACCCTCAGGCATAAGCGCGAAGAAGAAAAAGAAGAGCGCCTTCTTAACCTTCGGGCCGACAAGTCAAACTATATAAGCGGTCCTATCGTTAAAAATCAATCTTTTCCGCACAACCTTTGGGAATTATCAAATTGTTTAGATATTTATTATTTATAATAAGCTTCATGCACAAGATATTGTACACAAGGTGGACTTAATGCTTTGAGCATTCTCTACCAGTTTGACCTTTGGGTAATTATTGACGTACACTCAAATTTTATGCACTGGTGGTGTGATGCTGATGTTAAATGGAAACCTATTAAAAGTCGTTGCAGACCATAAATAAGCCTTCTCTATACTGTAGACTTTAGTGATAACATTTTCCTGTTAAAATTATTTCCAATAATACTACCTACTCTATCGTTACTATTGTCTGTTTTAGTTTCTCATTTAGTTACTAAATTTTACTTTAGGTATTAATTTTATCCCGTTGTTATTGAAACGCGAGTTTGATGTTTAATATGTATATTAAACATAAAACAAATAAGTTTATTTTCATTCAAAAATTTAAAGTCAAATCCTATTTCAAATAGGCCAGTAAAGGCACTCTTGAAAGTTTAAACAAAAAAAAACGTGTGTCAGTCTGTCGGTCTGTCCTCTAGCGCTCTCATTCCAAAATGTTCATACACATAAAAACATATTATTACTTTCCATCTCATATTAAGCGCCTGTTTCATCACCTTCGTACAAGTTCCCGATAAACGTATGCCACACATCTCATATAAATGAAGGTCTATATTCAAACTACTGGCTCGCTCTTCTTCACCCAAATGTCCAACTACCTAGATGTCATTGATTTTGATAGCGAAATGCTACACCACCGAAAATATTAACTTCACCCGAATTTGTCGTCTAATTTTGGAAAAATTCATATTTTTTTATAAGAACCTTCTCCTAATCTTAGTAAACACAGCATAAAACAACAATATTGGGATTTATTTACGTTATACTGGCTTCCGCCCGAGTGGTATGTTGATAAAAAGTAGTCTATGTCCTATTCCGGAGTTATCCTATGACAGTGCCAAATTTCAGCCAGATCCGTCCAGCCGTTTTGGCGTGATTGAGTAACAAACATCCAAACAATGAAACTTAATGCCTAACATATTCAACATTTATACTCAATGTAGTAAGATAAGTATATTAATTTTATATATTGTATTAAGATTTATTTGGCACCTAGCTGCTTTTAAGGCATTGTCAAATAGGCCTTGCAAATGCAGATTAGATCTATGCAGAATAAGTCAAAATCGGGCTAATTTAAATGAAATTCTTAAACACGACAGTAGGTACATAAACTTACCGAAAGCAGTCTTTATGCCAGTCTTGATTGAGTGCGGTCACGTAGTCGTCATCACCGATGTCATTCAAGCAGCCTGCACAACCCGGGGACTCTGCAACACAATGATATAAAATAGTTTTTTTAATCATATTTACTAGTGCTTGAGTAAGCAGTGATACAATCGTTAATTGTAAGGCGCACAAGTTTATTAAGAAGATATTCACTGTGGCGTTGAAGACACCTAAATACTAACTAGATGGGAAGACTGTTGCAAGCAAGCTATTCCAATCCTTAGATGTCCTTGGTATACGTGTGTGCGTCTCAACAATATAGGGATGGATACCCGCCGTACGGGTTACGGTTCGGGGATCGAGAATCTCCGGCCACCGTAAGCGCGGGTCTGCGGACGTTGAGTAAAGGTAATTTGCCGCTCGGCCAAAACCAGACCCGAGCGTACGGCGCGTAGCGTTCCGGGCGCGCCTCAAAGCGCTAATAGACCACCACAGACGGGGCCCTATAGGGCTGATGTTCAGCCGGGGTTGCGGGGTAAGCTCAATGAGGCACTGTAACCTCGGCTCTGAACAGAAGCAGGAAAGGGTGGTAGGGCGGGGGTTTAGTCAGTAAGCATCTGACACTCTCTGACCTTACCATGGGCGGGAGAAGCCATTTGATGATTCGGGTTCTCCGACGTAAGCAAGGTGATGTAGTTCCCAACCTATGTAGTTCCCACGCATACACCCCAAAACGTATCCTAAAGAAAAACGAAAGGCTGGCTACCCTACGCCTGTGCTCCAGGCTCTGAAGATTGGTTTTAGTTGGTATCATCATTATTTTTTCCTAATACCTTTTGATGAGGAAACCTTCGAACGGCGCCTAACTTTTCAGGGAGAAATATTAGTGGGTGTAGTAATATCATAATCGGCACTTACAATTATTATAAAGGGGATTTTTGAGGGGAGAAAAAACAGAATATTGCTTCTCTTGCCGTGCATGAAGCAAGAGGGTCTCAGGTCAGTCTCTTACTGACTAAAAACCACTACAATCCTTCTCCAGCTCTAGGCCAGGACACAGTTCATTATTGTGCTTGACCCCCAATTTCGCCCGGCTGGCCTTAAAAGAGCTTAAACTTAATTTAAACCAGCTATGCCAATATTAGACATGTACGCAAGGATCGCAGTAAGTTTTTAGTGTGAGAAAGCCATGCTTCGTCACGAATGGGTCGGCTCGACCACGGCCTCACAGAAAATCGGCGTGAAACAACCACAGCGCTGTGTTTCGCCGTGTGAGTGAGGTTACCGGAGGCCCAATCCTTCCCCTCCCCAATCCCTAAATCTCCCAAATCCCTAATCCCTAAAAGGTCGGCAACGCACTCGTAACTCCTCTGTAGTTGCTGGTGGCCATGGGCGGTGCTAATTGCTTACCATCAGGTAATCCGTATGCATGTTTGCAGACCCATCAAAAAAAAAATGGCAATCTGTAGGCACTGCATGCTCATGGTACAAAATTGTTAGATTTCATTACACACTATACTGTTTCACTCCTTTATGATACCTCATTGATATTAATTCATCAAGCCCCGAGCAAACAACAGCATTTGCGGTGTGCAAATGCTGGTGTTTGTTGTCCTATTTAGACTTTAAAACGGACTGCAACCTCTGATTTGTATCTTTTCAGCTTAGTCAGCAAGGCAGTGCCAGTCTGAACTTCACAAATTTATTATGTTAATTTGTAAAAGTATTTTTTTCTAGTCTACAAACGAAATCAACATTATTTAATCTTATTTAAATATATATCCTAACTAAGTCACGTCCTGATTGGATATGAGAACTGCCATGCAAATGGCACTTGAGTAATAAATAATCATTCATTTTCCTCAATGTTTATCATGTGTCAGTCCCTGATTCATAACTCAGTAATGTTAAATTTTAGGCACCTTCAGTTAGGGTTTAGAGAATACTTAAATTAAAGATTATTGTTGTCGCCACTGTGTGGTTCAAACAAATTGAAATCAAATGCCCATCATTCAAAGGGTTTTTATATTATTAAAAGACACTGTTTGAGTCTTTCGAGTTTGTTTTATTGCTTAGAACTATGCTAAGCTACCAAAATAATGACCTCATCTATTAGTTTAAAAATGTTGACAGATCCAAAAGTGCAGGCATATGAACATAATCAATCAATTAATGATTAATTTTTTTAAGATTTAGAAAAAAGAGGTTTTAGGAATCAAAAGATAGTTTTAACTACTTTTAAAAGTTAATCTCATTACAGTACAGTAACCTAGTAACAAAATAAAAAATGGTTTTAGAGATTCTGTTTAAAGTATGGACCTTTGTTAATATTTCAACTTTACAATAATTATTTAAGCAAGCTACATGGCTATTAAGAGGTTGGGTTAAAATATACATAACAATATGATCCTTTAACTTGACAGACCTTTAACAAACATTAGTTACGCACAAAAACCAGTTCTTCAGATATAATGTTTGATTCATTGAATAAATTAACTTAGTTTTGTCTCAAACCATCACATTATCTTTTGTGTGTGACTGTTTTTTAGTAATTGAATTTTTAGATGGCCCTGAACATCCAAATACCTTTCTAATAAGTTTATTATAACAAGGTTTTAACACAAATATTAATTTATCCTTCAAGCATAAGATACGGATGTAAACATTGAAATTGACAACTAAGGAAACATTTTAAAACACTTTAAAAGTTCTATTAACATTTTTTTCTAATATAACTTTATTGCAACTTGGTGTGCATTAAGTTAAACTTAAGTTACAAAAGGCGAGGCAGGACAAACAAAAGATAAACCATGATAACTTAGAAGAATCGCCCACACAATTCTCATGACAGATACTAAACACAAAACAGGAGCAAATATTAATTTTACACAGTGTTTTCGGCACAATAATGAGATTTAAGACTTACCTTTAACATTCGGCCCCTCCATCTCATTTCAAAAAGGAATGTTTATTCATAAATTGTTTGTTCAAATTACAAGAATTACATGCTTGAGATTCCAATACTTTGTGAATGACGTAAAAGACAGAACTTAGTGATTTAATAGGATGACACATTCAAGTAGATGTTGCCAGCTTCGTAAATCAAAGAATAAAATCAAGGAACATCGTAGGAACATTCACAAACTAATATTACAAACTTTCTTTTCTTCACACCTAAACCACTGAACCTATTTGCGCGTACAAATGTACCTACCTATATAGTTTGGTTTTGAAGTCGAGAAAGGATATAGGATATTATTAAACCAAATCTGCAGGAAATACCTATTCCACACAAACAAAAAGCTAGTAGCTTATATACAAGAAAAAGGAAAGGCCGAAATAAAATTAATGTTTTATGAATTAAAATGGCTTTAATTTGGCATTGTACATTGCTTACAATTCTCACAGTTCATATCTCTAACAATGAAAAGATTTTGTGCTTCCAGAAAAAACTAAATTGAAAATATGTGAATTCGACAATAAATTACGCTAACAAATACGAGGACAGAAATTTAATAAATATTTAATGATGTTTTTTAACTTCTTTAACTTTTTCTTTTTCTTCCCTTTGTTTGTATTTGTCGAACCTGACCTTGACTTTAACCTTAACTTCGAGGCGTTTTAGAAGTTCTGACATTTCATCATCGTTGGAATCGTCGGAGCAATCAGAATTATCGTCGTCGTCTTCACCAGAGCTTCCGTTATCATCGGGACTTGTAGTAGTCGGTTGATCTGGCATCTCGGTTGTAACATCGGGGACAGAAGTTGTAGGTTGGTAATCGGGAGTTGTAGGACTATAGTCAGGTTCAGATGTAAGTGGTGGCTCTGTTGGGCGAGAAGTTGGGGCCTCAGTAGGGATAGTAGTAGGGTCAGGTAGGGTAGGAGTAGGGGCAGGCGTTGTGTCCACGTTATCTTCATTTAGATTTTCAAAATCAATACCAGTAACTTGTTCAAACCAATCAAGATAAGGTCCCGGACGAATGAAACCTAAAAACAACAATTTTATTAATATTTAAAAAACAATTTTTATTGGGTTTTTTGTTGCGAAATATGAATCAGAATATTACCAGCGGGAAGGCCAGAGTGACAACCGAAGCTTCCACCAGCTACAAAGGAGGTAACACCGATGAGAGTTGGAACATTGTCAGAATCAACATGCACAAGAGGACCACCGCTGTCTCCCTGTAAACAAAAAAATAATAATTTATTAAATTAAAATAAAACGTTATTAGAAAATCGAACACTTTAAGGATTAATATGGGGTTTGGGATCGCTGTTATCGCAGTGGTAAGACTCCACTTTGGGATGTGGTTAGATAGACCCCTCAGCGTTTCACCAACCTGCCTGCCTCTGCCTGACACCGATGCTTACATGATGTAGAAGTCCCTGAAAATGCTCGGATGTAGTCACTACGAAGACTACCCCGTGAACACGGCTGAGCATACAGTGAAGGTGTGCCCTCTTTGGGCTAGGTAACATCGTGTCCTAAGCACCCTCTTTATCCCTCAAAACAAGAGAATCATCAGGGTTGACCTTTTTGGGAATATACCATATCTAGACAAATGTATTACAATGTCTGACAGAAGTCAAGTCACCAGAGGCGCCACCTGGTAGAATGGTTTTTGTTAAATGGTTACCTGACACGTAGACTGAGAGGTAACATTGAAGAATCGTGCGCAGATAGAGGTGTCAATGATGATGCCACTTGTAAAGGTGCGGCCACAAGCATCGTTCGAGATCGCGGTCAGGTACACCCATCGCAACACTTCGGTGACGGCGCCTGGTTAAAATTGAAAGAACATATTATATGTATTGCCTGAAACACCTTACATTACACGCGTTACATTATTTATGTAACGCGTGTAATGTAAGGTGCACTTTAGAATGATCATTGGTAAAATAGTTTTATAGGAAAAAAATATACCTAAATACTACCTAGGTACCTACTTTTTTTCCAAATATAAAAACATCATAATATGTTAACAGTTATCTACAACCTTTCTATCTACAGACTTTTTTTAATTTTATTAAAATCTAAGTTAAATTAAGTCGAATTAAGGTGGTGATCTATAGTAGCACGAAAAACACTCAATTAATTTTATCTTTTAAAAAACAATGTGCATGTTTTATTTATCTTTACAAAATTTTACATAAGCTACCTTCTTAGGTTTTTCAATGTAGATTATTTTGTTTTTTTTTCTTATCTTTTATCAGATCAATCTTGATAGCACTTCCTACCGTAGCAATTATTAAATTTTGCGAAATATTAGATAGGAATCAGTAAGGAGTGAGTTCTGATGATAAATGCCCTATCATATTAGTATTTTTACCAACCAAAGTGAGCCTACAAAAGACTTTCCATTGCAGCACTAGATAAAGGTTAATTACTTATAAATTTAAACAGGATTGTGTTACAAAATTATTCTACTATTTAATAAAAAATACTCAAATAGAATTTTATAAATTATTCAAATCATCACATCATATTATGAGGCTAGAAATTTTTCTATTTCCTTTTCTTTTTCTCGCAAGGAAAATTATTGTCAAACTTTTGATTATATTACTAAGTATCAGCATTTTTTAGAAGTACGGTATATCTAACTACGGGGAATATACTGAAACATACATGTTACATTCTTTAAGCACAGATTAGATAAATAAATCGCAGTGGTAAAATATTTTTTATATACTGACCTCCAGTCCATGTCCTGCCGTGTCCACTGGCGTAGACCTGAGCTCCAGCATAGTCGCGGTACGCGTCAGCTCTCGGCTGAATGCGGATACGTTGTAGACGGACTGTCAATTAGAATATTATATAAAATAATGTACATGAGTACACATAGGTGCTAAATACACAAATTAGACAACAGTGTGGGAGAGCCATATTTCGGCACGAATGGGTCGGCTCGGTGATACCACGGCCTCACAGAAAACCTGCGTGAAACAACCACATCATTGTGTTTCGCCGTGTGAGTGAGGTTACCAGAGGCCCAGTCCTTCCCCAATCCCTAAATCGCCAAATCCCTAAATATCAAAAGGTCGGCCTCGCGCTCGTAACTCCTTTATTTCGGATTTCCATGGGCGGCGCTGATTGGTAATCCGTCTGCTCGTTTGCCGACCTATTACATAAAAAAACAGACTGCCAAGCACTTCATTATTTTAGTTCTTTTTTTACACTATGACCCCTAACCATCCTCAAATTGGTTTTTAGCGGAGTGCGTCAAATCCCAAAAAGTATATTAATTGTCTTCTTTTTAGTCTCTACATAAATAATGGTTGTCTCCACATAAGTAATCTAGATTAACCTTCCAGGTTTAAAGAGGGAATTCAGTAGTCAACTGTTTAATATATTGGATGCAAAATTTTAGTCCCTATAAAAATAAAAATAAAATTATGGTTTTCTTACAGGAATAGTCGACAGGTCTTTGAAGCTTGACAAGACCGATGTCGTGGGGTTGTACAACGGCAGGTCGGCTGCTGTCGTACGAGGGGTGGTTGTAGTATTCGGTCGTCTCGTGTATGTACTCTGGGTCGGTGAGGGAGACCACGCCTCCGCGGACTACTATTGTGACGCGGCTGCAGGAGAAAAAGATTGATTAGAATGTAGGTATATGTATATATGAAAAATATATGACCAAGCAGTAGAACACATTGCAGTGGATATTGAGTTCAACGATTTGGTTCACAAAGTAACCCAATGCTTGTGGTGCGAGGAACTTTATTTTAACTGGTAACATTAACTAGGAAGAATATTGTAAGAGTCGCAGTAGATGACATTCTATATTCTGCACCTTGTTTTTAACTATCCTCATTGGACAATTTAATTATGTTACATTGTCAACAAACCAACAGATTCCTATATAAAGAAAATATTTTTTCAACTATTTCAACGATTGGCTATCGCTTATCGTTTATTGACCTATCTCAAAAACCAAGTTTTAGGTAGGTAACCCCCACCAAATCCTTGGGTGCCATTAGTTTATACTTTAACAAAAACCGTAGACTTAAACATCCACTCTCTACATTTAGAATTTTAATAGAAGATTTCCTTAAGTAGGTAACTATCTTTTTACATACCCAGCTGTACAATGAGCTGCAGTGATGACCCACTCCTTGGACGCGAAGGATCCTCCACAGCCACCCACGCTACCAGTAGGGTCTACCATTCTGAGAGCAGCATGGTGGGGATGCTGACCAGGCACTGCCTCCCAGCCCGACACGATACGAGACCCCGAATTTACGGCTTCTGACTCTGCAAGAAGAGGGATAAGTTGCAAAAAGGACAAGAACACGATATTTTAGATGTTACAGAAGCTAAGTTTTTTTTGTTGGTAGAACTGTGAACGATTCGGACCCAACTGTTAAATAAAATGTAGGTATTCCCTTAGATGTAGATGATGACATATGAGTTAGGTAACAACTTTAATTCCGAAAGTGAAATAGGCCGTTTGAAATCATTTTCATAGCTAGCTTATTAAAAGTTATAAGTACATAGGAACGTTCAAAATATTGATCACTTGCTTGGTTTCGTTCGTTCTTTTTCAAATTTTAACTCAAGTACTTAACATCGAAATGGCGCGTTGACGTCACATACTAACGCCGCGTTCGCTTGGAGATCAAGAGGTTAATAATTATAGATAGGTACTAACCGTATTGGATTACATTCTCGATGAAATCGGGTTGCACGTCAGTGTAACGTGCAGATACCTGCAAAAAATAAGTTATTTTAGATATTTAGACTTATACTGGTAACACTGGGCTATTTTTTTAAAAAAACTTCAAACATAACATTACGTGAGGGTATTAATTTTATTTAAAAAAGCTTAGTTTAATTCCTAAACGTCTAGGCGGCTTTGCAGTTATACATATTTATAATATAATCCACTAGGTATCTCTTATTAAAATGGGTTAATCAAATAATAACAATAAAACAAACAACCCTTATACCCACTAGACATTTTGCTTACCTGAAGTATCGTTACGAGTAACAAGAACAGGCCTGCTTTCACTAACATCTTCACAACCACTGCCTGCTGCCGAAAACGAAGCTACTATTTTAACTTGTTTCCCGGATTAAAATCTAATCACAGTAATTATAGAGATCAAAATCAATTAATTAACACGATAAGATAAATGAATTAAATCATTCTGTTAACATTTGCCGACAATTCGATATATTTTGGTTCGTCATTCGATACCTACCTATGGTTTTTTTCGGATAGAAATTCGGATTTCTAGGTTTGAAACTTTTCTTGTTTTCCATTTTCTTATCTAGGTAGGTACAAATCTACAAATTTTTAATTGCTACAGCTTTCTATTTTTTATTGGCAGTCAGTGTTA